TCTCTCTCTCTCTCTCTCTCTCTCTCTCTCTCTCTCTCTTTCTCTCTCTCTCTCATGTCTCTCTCTCTCTCTTGTGTAGAAAAGGATTGATTGGGAGTTGCGCGAGTATTTTCTTTTCTTAATGACGTCTCGAGGTTTTTGCAATTGATTGATATGTGGACTGACAAGTACCCTCCGATCGGGCGTCAGCCTCCCGTACCTCCGTTATCAACACGGCCTTTTCCCTACAACGAGGAGAGGACACGTGTATGCGAGTGGGACGTACGAGAAGCTGTCGCACAGATCGGCGGGCGATACTACTTTCCTCCGGCAAATCATTGTTCAGGGTTCGTAGAGGCTGGGTTTGTCATTATCGATACGCACTTCCCACCTTACTCGATATTGTTGTCATTCAACGGGTTGATTGTCATCCTGTGGACGGCAGTAGAACCCCACTGGCCGCGCACTCTATGCACCAAATGTCAGTTTTTTTAGCGCTACGAATCCAGGGGTTTCCACTACCGTGTGCGGAGTGAAGACGAGTATAAAGAAAGAGCCATGCGGCTGAGACCATCCACGTCAGACTCAGAACTGACCAGCGAACGACGACGGGACTTGATACGAAAACGGGACACGCGAAGCGTGCCCAATCCCTTTCGCTCTTAACGACGGGCCGTAGCGTGGTGGGAAGCTCGACAATACTTTTTGGATTGAATTTGGATTTTTCTCTTTTCGCGCCGTGCCCGCGCGCGCATTCCGTGACACGTGAAAGCAACCGACTTTTTTCATCGGACCAACACGGGGGATTTGAGTTCCGTCTGAGTCCCCACACTCAATTTCCAAAAATCCTTGGCACACCCCATCTTGCTGTTTTTCTGGGCCTCTTTCCGCATATCTAGCATTCCGAACGAAAGACAGCACAAGGCGTGAGGTTAATATCAGAGCCGACACGTGTCGGTTCTGATGATAGTAAGTCAAACTGGCAAGAGGTAGAAGAAGAAGTCCCCCACCCGCTCCCCGAGATCGTCCAGTGACCAGATCTATATCGGGTGCTGCTATACCCGCCATGCCGATGGCAGACGGTACTAGAAGGATCGTTAGCATTCCTGCTCCTTTCCCCTTCTTCTCCAACCATACCCATCCTGAGGCTTGGTTAGAAGCCGTCGAAGCTCAAGGCTACAGCGCGGGTGATCTTCCCCGCGTTCTTACCTTGCTACTCCACAATACATCACATGACTGGTTTATAAAGCATACGTGGGTAGATTGGAATACTTTCAAACAAGCCTTTTTGGCCCGATTCGATACGGTCAGTGAGGATGCCGCCTGGTACGTGCTCAAAACTCGGCCACAAGGACCAGGCGAATTGTTGCCCGATTTCGTGGATCAATTTCAAACCACATTGGACAAATCAAGGCGAGACAAGAAGTCCGCTCGAGATCTGTTCATCGATCACTTACGAAGTCCGACGTTGAAAGGGAAATTGCAAAAAAAGGTCCCGCCGAAGACACACCAGCTATCGACTATCATCACTAAAGCATTGGAACTGGACCCGGCTGATACAAAAAAGTATATTTGTCAGGGAGACTAGGATATTACAGATACCATACGGGATGTAGCGGCTAAAAGGCGATCGGGGTTGCGAGCGGTAGAACGGTTCTATCCCCGGCCCGACCATGGCCTTCCCGACGGGATCGTTTATGATATTCCGCCTGTTTCGTCTTCCTTTCCCCCGGTGAATCAACCAATCGCGACAGTTAAAAGCGAAATCTCACCCGAACCCCCCTCGCCGGCCATAACCAACTTACATCTTGCCCAGATGATCCATACGGCCACTACCAAGCAGTCTGAATGGATGAGCAACTTGATCCAAATGCAGGCCACTCATATGGAGCGGATGGAACATATAATGAGCAGGTTAATTAAGCCTAACCCGGCCCTTGCTCGGCCTGCCCCCGCGTCATTTCCACTCTTGCCCGCCCCGCCTGCACCAGGGTATGCACCTCAGTTCCCTCACCCAGCTAATCCAGCAGGAGAAATCGAGTGTTTTAACTGCAAACAGCCCGGACATTTCGCCCGTGACTGCCCGCAGCCAAAGCGTAGTCAACCCCCACCTGCGGCGGCCCCTATGGCCCTGAATCAAGGACGAATGGCCGCGTTGATGGATACGGCCCAGGGAGGAGAGCTCGTGACATATGTCCCAGAACAACCCTCCCCCTCGATGGCAAAGGCGTCGACATCAGGAGCTTCTTCCTCTGATGCTGCTGACGTGGTCGACCCACTCGAATATCTTCATCTGACAGGCATGGTCGGAGCGATCTGATCGGCCCCCGATGATCTTGAATGGGTCGATCGCGAATCCAATCCTGGTCCACAGTTTCGGACAGGAGAAATTGATGTGTTACGAGCACTCAAGCAATTGGATATTCGTGTTCCTATCCCGGTGGGACATCTGCTCACCATATCTGAAGCGGCGAATGATAAACTTTTCCAACATTGCCAGAAAAATCAAAAGCGCTTCACCTATCAGCGCTACTGTGGAAAAGCGCGGAATGTGATTGTGAAGTTTGGGGCAAGCCATTTAACGCCCTTATCGACACAGGGTCTTCTGCAGTAGCCATATCATTAGACACTGTCAGAAAGACAGGACGACTTGGATCCATCTTTCCTCAATCTGGCAAAGACAATTATGTCTCAGCCGACGAGAAAGCAATGAACATCGTAGGCATTATTGAGAATGTGGCTGTAAAGGTCGGACGAGTGCACGTCCTCGTCAACGCGCTCGTGATAGATGTGCGTTCCTATTCCGTGTTGTTGGGATTACCTTGGGCGATGGCGGTGGGAGCACGTCTGCATTTCGATTCGAAACAACTAGTGCTTACGCAAACTGGGGGAAAGCCTCAAACTGTTCCCTTGCGAATTTTCACCCGAACAATAAAACAAACCCCTTACTCGGCCCAAATAGGGATGATTCGATACATTAATCCCGAGGAGTGTTCCTCCTCGGACATCGATAGTGGAATCGGGGAACAGGAATACGAAGAAGAGCTGCCTAGCAAAGATGAATGAAAGCGCCTGGTCGAACTTTTCGAACACGAAATTCCCGAAGAATTTCAAGTATGCCCCGACACTACCCGAAGCTTCCACGTGGATTCAGGAGACAGCGTGCTTGCGCCTCCAGTAACCCAAGTTAGTCCTTCAGTCCTTCTCGGGGAACCCATATTACAAGTATCTGATCTGGCCGATGATTTGGAACCCCCTCGCACTTTGTACGAAGGAGCTCTCTCCTTACGAACGCGTTATCAGCAAACGGAACAGTATTTGGATGTTTCTGCCTTTCCGCCCAGATCGTTACTAACGATAGGAGCCACTATCGCCTTGATTAAACAGGAGGCGGAAGCACCGGTAAGTGATGTACTTGATCTAATGCAAGAAATGACGGATCTAACGGGGCTAACTGTGGAACCGACCTCGGTTGGTTCAGAGACTGATGCTGAAACTAAAGAAACGGAGATGATCAGCTCCGCTGAGTCCCAAATGATAGCAACTGTCTTCTCTGTCCGCACCAGTAGTTCCGTTTTCTCCAGTGTCTATGATGGACGGGAACGGCCGGTTGATTGGGTCGATATGCCCCTTAAGATTTTCGGGGAATCACCGAGCCACATTTCCGCGGAACTTCGGAAGTCATTAATCTGTGTGTTAAATGGTTACGCAGAAGTATTGAGCATACAAGATAATGACATCGGCTTAACTAATGTGATCGAGCATGCCATTCTCACGGGAGATCCCCCACCCATTAGTTGCGTTCCTTACCGATACTCGCCAGCTCAATGAGCGGCCGCTTTTCAGCGGATTAAAGAGTTCGAAGCTAATGGATGGATCGAACCCGCAATAGGTCCCTGGTCTTTTCCCGTAGTAATTGTGCCTAAAAAGGCCGGAGGGATTCGCATTTGCATTAATTATCGAAAATTGAATGATATCACGATCAAAGATATGTACCCCCTCCCCCGGATTGATGAGTTGTTTGATGCGATTGGGAGTGCCCGATTTTTCAGCAAGTTTGATATTCGCCATGGGTTCCATCATCTTCTTGTTCGAGAAGAAGATCGTCCGAAAACGGTATTTGTGCTTTTTGAGGGTACGTGGTAGTGGATCCGATGTCCGATGTGTATCTGCAACGCCCCAGCGACCTTCCAGCGAGCCATGAACGTGGTTTTTCAGAATTTCGTGTGGAAGACTCGTTTGGCGCAGAGCATCATCAACTACTGCGTAATTGTGTACGTGGATGACATCTTGGTGTACTCGAGTTCCTATGAGGGACACGTGCAGCACATCGAATGGGCACTGCACGCGTTACGAGATGCGGGTTTCAAAGTGACGCTCGAGAAGTGTCAGTTTTTTCTTACCACCATTTCCTTCTTGGGACACGTGGTGACAGACAAGGGACTCCAACCGGAGCCGCAGAATGTGGCAGCTGTCAGGGATGCGCCGGTGCCTACAACCATCACGCAAGTTCGCGCCTTTCTGGGCCTAGCCTCGTACTACCGAAGATTTATCAAGGGCTTCACGGCGATTGCGGGACCCCTTACGAATCTGCTGCGCAAAGATCAGTCGTTGATCTGGACGCCGGAATGCGATCAAGCGTTTTCCAAACTCAAGGCCGCTCTCATTTCGGCTCCGGTCCTTATAAGACCGGATCTCGAAAAACCTTTTATTCTCATCACTGACTGGCAGCCAGAGGCAATTTCAGCGATCCTTGCCCAGGTGGGATCAAGCGGACTCGAGAGTGTGGTGGAGTATGCGTCCAAATCGGTGCTCGCCTGCAAGCGCAACTACGCTGCTCCAACGGGAGAATGCTACGCGGCTCTCTGGGGAATCAGCCACTTTCGCGCTTACCTGTACGGGTGAAAGTTCACCACGGTAACTGATCATGAGCCCTTGTTGGCTCTGAAGAAATCGAAGGATTACTCGGGCATGATCGGGCGATGGGCAACGGTGCTGCAGAGCATGGACTTTGACATTCGTCATCGGAAGCACGAGAGACACGGGAATGCGGACGGGCTGACACGATTGCACCGGCCCGAGAAGGTTCCGAAGAGTGAGGAGGTGATTCCGTGGAACGAACCTGAACAGGAGATCGGACCTCGGTACAGCCAAATGGAGATCTTATCAAAGCAGTAAGCGACACGAGGACTAATTTATCTGTTCTACCCTCTCTGCAATACAGTCCCAACCCTTCCTCCTCTGTCATCATGACTACCCCACCTGCCTCCGCAACCCCTTCGTCTCCTACTAATTCTGCCCCTTTCACGTCCTCAGCTTTCTTTGCCACCCTCCCCGATAAATTCTATTATTTTTGCACGTGCATTGCACGGGTTTATGGGGTCGACTGTCATCCTTTCGAAACCGGGTTTGTCGATTGGGTAGAATGTGCCACGTGTGTCAATCGTGCGCACGGGGCCTGCGTTCGATATCGGACGAGTAGCAAGGAATGGAGGTGCCCCCTATGTAGAACAAACAAACTCCCCACGGAGGTTCGATTCGAGGCCGCCCGTACGGACGACCCTGAATACGGCGAAAAATACCGACGAGCGGAGGTTTGGACGGATAAAATTTTATTGGCGAAATTAGCGTGATTATCATTGGGTCACCTCACTAAACACGACAGACGTAGGGCGACCGAGAGATCTCGGGACTATCGATGGATCAACGGTCATTTGGAAAAGCGTAAAACTGATGGATCGGGTTCGTGGTTGACAGTTCCCCATCCATTCCAGAGATATGATTGGATCCGATCTGCTCACGAAGAACAGGCTGCTCGATGGTTCTGGTCCAACATACGAGATGACGTCAAATACATTGTTACCAACTGCCTGGTCTGTGCCGCTGATCGCGCCCCAATTCGGGGACCAAACACGATAGTACCAACGGAAGTAGAGCGTCCTTTCCAGCGAGTCAGTATGGACACGACAAATATCGACGTGCCACCTGTCCCAAACCGCTGTGAATATTCTATCCTATTAGTATTAATAGACAATTTTTCCAAGTACATCGAAGTCTACCCCTGTAAGACCCGAAAAGCCGCAGAAATAGCCACGTACATCGAACGGTTTCTCTATACCCATCTAGATATGGAAGAAATTCTAACTGACAATGGGTCTGAAGTCAAGGGTGAGGTGGAAGAACTGCTTGCGCGAAGGGGTGTCACGCTCCGATATACGACACCCCATGTGTCCCAGTCGAACGGGTTGGCCGAAAATGCCAACCATATGATTAAAACCGCCCTTCGCAGGAACTTAGCAGCACACGACACGCGTCCGTGACCCGAGATCGTACATCAGATCGTCGAGATCCACCGGGCCACTCCTCATGAGTCCACGGGGTTTACCCCTTTTCAGCTTCAAACTAATAGCCTCCCCTGTGTCGACTACCGGGGTAACTCGGAAATTGTCGAACCAGGGGGTAGAGACACGCGTACAGCCCTCAAGGCCAAGGCCAAAAGGTACACCGAATTAATGGAGCGGGTTGTTCCGAAGCTAGCCCGAAAAAGACAAAGGATGACCGATCTGGCCCACGGTAGGCAGGTCCGTAGCTACGAAGTCCGAAACGGAAATGCTGGGGCCCAACATCAATATAAATTAGGGGACCTAGTGCAGGTACGTAAATGTGCACGCGACCGCAAACTCGCTCCCAAGTTCTCTGGCTGCTTTCGCGTTGTCGAGCTCGGTCCTAACGGCGCCAACACGGTGCGCATCGCGCCTGAGGCTAGTGCCAACCATAGCTTTGTCCCCATCGTCCGGCATACCTCCTACCTCCGTCTTCTTCCTCCTTCTTCTTATTCCTCGCAAAGCGAGGAGAGCGACGACGATCTAACTCTCTCTCCGCTCTCTCCCTCCTGTCCTTCGTCCTCCTCTCCAACCTCGCCATGAGTTTCATCACGGAGCGGGTTCTTGACGTACAACTGTTGCAGCCACCTGGCCACATCTCAGAGATTCGGCAAGTTTGTCACCCTCGGCTCAATACGGATCTTCGGCGTTTGGCGCAATTTTTCTGCGACGTGGGTGTGTGTACCGCCGCCACGTTTCGAATCGAAGGGAGTCCTCACGCCATAGTATTTGCGGAGGTAATCGCAGTTCATCGGCGAGCGGCTCCCAGAACGAGCCGCGTCACCACGGTTGCGGCGTTCAGCGGCGACATCAGCTCGGTCAATCCGCAGTGGCATACCGTGATCTTGGCCTCACTGCGCAAGTGGACGGAGCAGGTGTCCAACGTGTGGCAGCACGTCCTCGCCCGACCCAGGTATAACCTCATCCCGATCTTTGCATCGGATCTTGGCGATATTCGTCGTTCTCTGCGCGAGCGGCCAGTTGCGATCCCCACCCTCGTCCTCTTCCCACGTCCCCAATGAACCACGCCGATCCTCTCACTCCTCTCTCTATCTTTGGCCTCCCCTCTCTCTTCCCCACCTTCTGGCAATCCGATCTTCATCCTTCTCTTTCCTTATCATTCGAGCCTCTTTCAGTCCCTCTTATCAATCCTAAGCATTGGCAGCTATGGCGCGAAACTTTTGAGGAACTGTCTTTCTGCTTGGCCAGAGTACAGGTGACGTGGACGCAGACCAGCGAGCATCCTGCGTGGATCGAAAATCCGGAGCTGCTGATCATCCAAGCTTGGAGGACTAACGTGGAGGGCGATCTTCTTGGCTTTCTCTTTGGATCGGTACAGCCGGGGCGCAGAGTGATGACAGTCCTGCTCCGCACGTTCTCAAGCGGTCATTGGATCCATATCTTCAGTGGACTGCGTGCTTGGAGGAGCCCAGGGACGAAGATACGCTGTCGTCGCGACAGGAGTATCTGAAGCCGTACGATATCGTCCCTCACACCTTCTATCCGAGGGCAGAGGAAGTGGTGATCGACGACGACGACGAAGAGGACGAAGACGAGGAAACATCGGAGGAGGGAAGCTATAGCGAGTATAGCGAGGGCGAGCTGAGTGAAGAAGAAGAAGAAGAGGAGGGAGAAGCAGGAACTGAGTCTGAGTGGGAAGCTTTGCCAGAGGAAGCGGCGCGCACGGGAACGGAGGCGGAAGATCCGAAAGCAGCGCGAAAGCGCGAAGAAATTGCCACAGGGAAACGTCAGCTGGAGTTCGCTAGCGGAGCCAGCCTGAGCATCGATAACGATCGGACCAGAGATCTGGAGCCGCCAAAGCCCGAAGATGGCGACCCTGCAGCCGCCACCTCAAGTGCCGCGTGACGGAGATAGAGCCGATCCCCCTCCTCCTCCAGCCCCACCCGTCCCCCAATTCGCCCACGTACCGATGCGGGCGATAGGCCTTCGTCCTCATACGCTATCCCGTCGACCCCTTGATTTTCTCACCCTCGAACAGATCCGCACCCCCGTCACCTTCCCCCTCCATCCCTTCCTCCCCCATCTCTTCCGCGACTTCTACTCTACCCGTCTACTCGCTACCGTCCACCCCCACGCATCCCTTCAGCCCGCTGCCCCCACGTTCTGTTGGCATATCCTACTGTCCAGCGCTGCATGGGAACGATGCAACGTGGTAGAAGTCTATTGCGTAGCCACAGGGACAATCCCCGCCTATCGCCACTACGAGTTCTTTCAAGCGGCGCTTTTTCGCACCCTCTCCTCCTTCTATCGCGACTACCTCGCCTCCCTCCCTCGCAGCGACGATCACTTCCCTCACTTCCACCGGATCATCCGATAAGAGGAGCTTCTGGTAACGATGGAAGGGATGAATCGCTACCTTCCCCCACTTCCTCCCCGTCGCCCCCGAGAGATCCCCTCCATGTACCGACTCTACTGGCCATTCCAACTGGGAGATAGATCCCGATCACGTGACTATTTCCCCTCCCTCTCCTCTCTTTATCTAATCGGCAGAGGAAAACGGCCCGAATCAGTAAGCTACGCGAAGATCACGCCATCGACGATGACGTCAACCTACGCTCTGACTCGACGGGCATCGATAAACTGGGGTGCAGAGCACACGGAGAACCGGCGAACCGGCGGACGATGATGACGTCACCTGGATGACCGTCAATGATTCCAACAGCACGAGGCCATAGGAGATTGCAATTGAAGTTGGCGTCAACATGGACTCTGGCCGGAGCATTTGATAATACGCTTGGTTCCTCATGCATCACTTTGTTCTCTCCTTCTCTCTCTCCTTCTCCGCCATGACATGCAATCAAGAGATCGCATAATTTTTGAACCCCCTGCGCGTCACATATGTGACGAACTACCTGCCGAACATGTGCTATCTTTCGTACCCTTTCTTTTGCTTGTATCATACCGACCCAATAACAACCCCGTTTCATTTTCTTGATTTCGGGTGCCGCATTGTTTTTTTGGCCCCCATCTTTCGGAAGCCTTTTCGATTCTCGGGTTCTGCTTTCCCTTTTTTTTGCAATTCGGGAAATACATAGGAAATTACGTGCGCCTTAGCGAGCGCACTAGGAATTGGGTCCGACAGTTGGGAATTCCGGGATAAGCGGAACTTCGACGCCTCCTTTTTGTGTGTGAATGTTCTCGGTCGCGTTGGGGAAAACTCTCGGAATTTTGTACGAATACGAATAGGCGTAGGATTTTCTTTTCTCGCGTCGTTTTTTTGCGTGCTGATATGGTGATTTCAATTTTTTGAATTAGGACAGAGGCAAGTTGTAACTGTTTCGGTACCTTTTTTTCTCTTTTTGTTGACGGCGCCGCGCATGCAAAAGCTTTCTCCTCTCTGTCCCCCGCATCGCTCCCTCCTCTTTCTCCCTCCTCTTTCTCTCTCCTCGTAACTGTTTTTTTCTCTATCTCTCTCTCTCTC